CTGCCACGCCTCCTTCTCCCTGTTACATACATTTCAACAAAACCATTATACCCTGATTTCCCATTGAAAATGGGTTCAGGGTATAAAAAGGAGAAGAAGACGGAAAAGTGAAAAGAAAGAGAAGAGAAAAGAACAAAAGAATAAAAGAGAAAGAAAAGAAAACTAGACTAAGCGGATAAGGAAATACATATTCGATAGAATAAGCGGGCAGAAGTAAAGTAAGTGGAGTGGAACAGCGAGCTGTCCAGACGACAACGATGGAGGGAGGATTATTCCACAATCAGTCGATAAGCGTCGGCTAGGTTTACCAGCGTAGTAAGGATGAGTTAATGGCAATAGCTCGTGATCTGGGGCTCGACGACGAAGACCGCGTCGACGACTTGAGGAAAAGGTTGTTTTCTTTCATCCAGGGCGGCAATTATTCGACGGAAATCAAAGGGCGGCTAGTTGCCCGGGAGGCGCGTTTCCCAAAAGAATCAGGATTCTCTCTGGGAGGCGCAGCGGCGAGCATGGGCAGCCGCGCCTATCAGAAGTCGGAGCCGGACCTACGGAAGGTTCAAACGAACGCGACCCCTCCTCAACAACGTCGCTGAAGTTGAGCGTACCCACGACGAGCGGTACGGCTAGTGGCCGGAGGGACGAGAGGCCGCGGGAATTCTGCTGTAGCGATGAAAACAGGGTGTTAACACTGGCACCGAAGGCAGACCTTCGAGTTCCCATCCCCTCTCCGCCGCCGGAAGGGCGCCCGCCTTGTGTCGTAGCTGAGCAGGTTTGAAAATGGGGGATGAGATATGACGGACGGTCGGATCCCCTTGGTTTCGTCGATATTCTGGAGGAGCAGGCGATCACGTACGGAATCGAGCTTGACCGGATGCCCAGAATGTTGAGCGAAGTGCTGGTAGACAAGGCGGCCAARTGGTTCCTAACCAGCGGGTTAAGGGATGCATCCTGGATGGAGTTCAAGAAGGAATTCCTTGACTTCTTTTTGCCGCCCCAGTATCTGGAACGTCTGGAGGTTCAGATTCGAACACGTCGCCAGCGAAAAGGCGAACTCTTCAAAGACTACTTGATCGATTGCTGATGCGTCAGGCTAGGTACAGCCCGACACAAGAGTTGAACAGGGCCTACGAAATTGCATCCCCGGAGTACAGGCTGTACGTACGGAGGCACGATTTCACGTGCCTCACCCAGTTGACACAGATGGCGACACAGATGAAAATGTGCAAGGCCAACGACAGGAACAGGAGAGGTGTATTGCGGCAAAGGCTACCTGGTCTAAACCCACGAAGGGCCGGCAGGGCAATCCATTCCGTGCGTAGGCTTCGGATCCCCGGTCTAGAGGACAGGCCGCGGACCAGGCGACGACGCAAACGGTAGCGCCGCCGATAGAGGCGACGAGTCGGATGATGACTCAAGACACTGGAGCTGGACAGGGTTGACAGCGAGTATGCTTCAGATGCGCGCAGGCCGGACACTTCGCTCGAGAATGTCTCAATGCGCCGATCATATTTTGCTGGCGTTGTGGACAGTTGGGCAAGAGCACGAAGGACTGTTGCGAGAAGAGCAAGGCGGGAAACGGCCAGGGGCGCCCTCCCCAGGAGCGGAGCGGCGCCAACTAAATAGTGGTGAAGGAGAAGTACCCGCTCAGCGTGGAAGACGGGAAGATCGTCGCGACGGTGCTGATCGGGAGTCAAAGAATGACCGCCACGATCGACACCGGGGCTACGCGCAGCTTCGTGAGCGAAGATTGCACGGGCCAATGGACGATGCAAGGCGAGTACTATGACGTGGAGTCAAGGACCAGACTGGCTGACGGGTCGGCCTTGAACGTCAAAAGGATGATAAAGACGGAAGTGGGTCTAGCGGGGAGAACGGCACAGACAATATTGCTCATAATGCCAACCATGCTAGACCACGTCATCCTAGGTATGGATTTTTTGTGTGCCATAGGCACCACGATATGTTGCGAAGGTGCCAAGTTGGTGATGAGGGTGGCGGAGGACACGGTGGAAGGAGCGTCGTCGACGGATAGACAGGACGCACGGATGAGGAGTAGCCGATCCAGAGGACAAGATTGGCTAGTTCACGGGGATGTAAAAGGATCTACTTCGGGGGATCGCGCGGGATCCCGGCACCGAAGGAAAGCCAGGGGGCGTCAGTCGCGGGATTGGCAGCTGGCGCGCAAGGCTCATCGAGCCTGGAACCGCAGGCTGATAAGAGAGAGGGTCAGAGGGGTGGGCCTGAGGAGCAACCGCCCAAAATCAAAGCGATGGAGTTGGAGAAGAGGGGCGAGCCCGGATGCGGCTCGCCGAGGGAAAAGGTGCAAGACGTAGGGCAAAGGGATGACAAGGAGTCCACGCTCGGCAGCAAGGAATGGCCAGACGAGCTGGAGGATGAAATAAAATAGTTTCTTTCTTTCTTTCGACAAGCCTTTGAAGCAAAGGTACTACCCCAGGAATCCGGATATGCAGAAGGTGGTTGACGAACAGGTGGACGAGTTGCTTCGGACGGGGGCCATTGAGCCGTCGAAGAGCCCACACAGCGCGCCTATAGTCTTGGTCAAGAAGAAGACTGGGGAGTGCGCATGTGTATTGATTATCGGCAGCTAAATGCTCATTCAATCCCGGATGCATACCCCGTCCCGAGGATCCCCCACATTTTGGAAAGGCTACGTCACGCACGGTTCATATCCACGCTGGATCTAAAGAGTGGCTACTGGCAGATCCCGATGGCGGCGGATAGTCGAGAATGGACCGCGTTC